CTGGAGCAGCTTATCAGAAAAATAAACAGTGAGATCCATGTGACTTGGCAAGTCATTACACCAAGATAAACTAAACTAAATTAAGATAAACATCTATTTTAAGACCTTGTGTATTTTGTGGCTTGTAGTGAGTGACCTATAAAACATCTAAAGACTATAAAATTGATTGTGTAAGGACAACTCAAAACATTTAAAGAAGCAGTCAGATGTAGAAATTATATATGTATTGAGTTTTGTTTTTTAAGTATCATGGATTACCTTCCAGTAGGCATCCTTCAGTCTCGAGAGACTATGGTAACATGCTCTGTATGGAAGACTTGGAACAGCGTCTAGTGTGGCTGATAAGGCCAATTCGAGAGTGATAATCCCTTCTACACTGAAGACAAGTGCAATCTGTCCTTTGGCCAGCTCCCTGATTTAGCTGTTTTCGGGACTGCCTCTTTGCCTCCGGCTGCTGGACAAGGGTCTCTCCAAAATGGGAGAGGCCATGATGCACCGTCTGCCTCCAGGCTGGAATGCTCTGATGTCAAGGTTTCCCATGTGTTGAGGTCCATTCCTAAGGCCTTCAGATCCCCCTTGGGTCGGAAGTGCTTTGCCAGACCTCCTTCTGGTGGCACTTTGGGAGTGTAAAGCTTGCATGAGACTGAATAATGGCAGGACATGTAGTCCCATCAGCCGTACGTGCTTTGGATGATCATAGCTGCAAGGACGTAGGCCCCAGACAGCCTACAGTCCTACTCAGGTGGGCAGCATGGCTGCGCTGGAGGGGAAGAGGAGGAGGCCCACAGCAAATAAGATAGGTGCTGGGGGGCATGGAGGGGTGTGTGGGGTGTAAAAATGAAAGGACCAGAACATAAAAATATGGAAAATTTTAAGACAGTGAATGAAGCACATCCTCCCCAAAATAACCCCAAATGAAAGAAAGTGAAAAGTTTCACCATGCAGACCCCTAGGTGGAGTTAGGCCATGTACTAATTGAATATGAGTTGTATGCTGGGATGATTTACACATGTAACAACGTATGAGTTATTAAAAATCAAGAATTGTAAAAGTATGGGGAGGGTAAACCCCATATCAGAGATCTTGGGATAAAATTTAATTTACATACTGGGTAAGATAGCTGTTGCCAGATTAAAAGTATTATCTAGTGGTTGGAAGTGAATATTGTCCTCAGTAATTAATACGAATTAATATACCACATAAAGAGAGGGGAAGTAGTCACCTTCTTTCTTTCCAACACACCATAAAACTTTTTTTTTTACTTCCCCCAGGAGCACTTTGTTTTGTTAACAAAACTGGCCTGCAACTGCTGTCTTGGTCACTGGTGATTTTAGCTTACCGTATATAGTAGCTGTGAATGAAGCAGAGTCCTTGTGTAGCAAGATTTTCTAAGAGCCTCCATATGTTTGATACTTTACTTTTTCAAACAAGAATGTAATGTATACATTAAATTGATAAATTAAACATTACTGCAGATTTCTCAAGTCAGTACTGTACACTGGGAATAATATGGCTTGATAATTGTTTTAAACTTTTTTTAGCATTGAAGGCACTTCTTAACTTTGGAACAGGTCCAATTTTTTCAGTAAATAAACACTTCAAAAGTTAGTCAGGGAAACCAAAAAACATGCTTTGTGATGTTAATGCTTCAGTAAAAAAAGCAAAAAGCCATGAATGATCTCTTAAGCCTAAAACATTCAGGAAGCTTTTAATGCTTTTCTACTTGAGTATTTAATCCTTCTGGGGAATTAAGTCACTGGAAGTATTTGTGGTCTCGTTTTTTGTTTAACATTTTGCTAGACTCCATATGGTATAATGTAATGTTCTGTATTAGTCTTTATTTTCAAAATTGAAACCTTTTGTTGAAACGTAGATCATGCCAGATATCAGATAGAATTGCCTCATTGAGAAGATAGAATGAAGAAAAGGTGAATCTGAAGAACATTATTTCACCAGGATTATGATACAGTCCTTCAATCAATATCCAGAATCATTTTGAATTATTTTTAAGTACCAGGCTTTTGCTGCATAGATATATCAAATATACACGGTTTTGTTTGGGTTAAAAATCTGTGCATTAGGTCAAGCTTAAATGAGATGGAAAAATCTGTCCATTAGCTTTTGATAGTTTCACAGATCAGCATAGGTCTTATATGCTTCAAAAAAACTGAGTTGAAAAACAGTGCCGCAGTAACCTGAGGTGGTGGGAAAGAATAAACCCAGTTATTGTCATTGACTGTGGCTTACTAACTGTTTCTATGCACAGTTAGTAAGCCTAATATAAGTAAATATTTAAACCTTATATAAGTAAATCCTTTAAAATATATATGATGAACAATAAGGTGCAATGTTTCACATTAAATGTTGGGACCATGCATTTTAATTTAATTTTTAATTTTTAATTTTTTTTTGTTTTTAATTTTTTATTGGCAATCCTTGGGAAAGACAAAAACAACAAAAGGGATTAGACTACAAGATCTATACAATCCAACAATAAATTGTTGTGCATTATATAGCACCCAAGAAAGACCTTCTAGCCAATTGTAGAGCCCTGGAAATGTATCTTGCATAGGGCAGACATCTTTTATACCTTGGTTCAGTCATCAATCCAAATGGAGACTGCAGCCAAGAAATCAGAAGGACTGAGACTAGGAAGGGCAGCAATGAAGGAAGTGGAAAATATCATTAAATATAAGGATGAGCCACTGCAGACCAAGACCAAGATCACCCACACTCTTGTCTTTGTGATCACTGTGTTCTAGTATAAAAAGCATTTAAGAAAGCAGTTAAGAAAGCTGACCGAGGGGGTGGGGGGAACGATTCATTTGAAATGTGGTGCTGGAAGACAACTTTATGGACATCCTAGATCAAATAAAGCGTGAGGAAAAAATGTTGAAATTAAAACTGTCCTACTTTGGGTACCTCATGAGAAGGCAGGGTTCTCTGAAAAAGCCATAATACTGCGAAAGTATTTCCTACAAAAGCAGGAAAAGATGAATTTATGTATTTATTTATGTATTTGATTTATATACCGTCCATATGGCAGCCAAGGCCACTCTGGGCAGTTTACAGCAAATAACAAAAAACAACAGAGTAACAAAATAGCAAACAGTGACATTAATACATAGGGGTGAGAATCAAAAAGTGAAGTGAGGACAAAATTATAATACAATAAAGAGAATTAAAAGCATAGAAGTAAATAAAAACATGGAGCACGGCGTTATGACAGAAATTATATTATTGGACACTACTGTATCAGAGTATAGCTTGTTCAGGGAAGGCCTGTCTAAAATAACCAGGTTTTTAGTAGCTTTTTGAATGTGCCCAGTGAAGGGGCCAGGCAGACTTTGGGCAGAAGAGAGTTCCATAATTGTGGCGCTACCGCCGAGAAGGCCCGATTTCTAGTGGTTTCCAGGCCTCTTTCACGGTCAGAACTCTCAGCTGGCCTGCTTTGACAATCTTATAGGACAGGCAGACCTAACTGGAAGGAGGCGCTTGGCCAGATATCAAGGTCCCAAACCATTTAGGGCCTTATAGGTTAGGACCATCGCCTTGAAACTGGTATGGAAGCAAACAGGTAGCCAGTATAAGGAGGCCAGGGTGGGGGAGATATGTTGGTATTTTCTAACCCCACTCAGAAATATGGCCACCCCTTTCTGGATCCATTGCAGTTTCTGTAGCAGTCCCAAAGGCAGCCCCATGTAGAGGGCATTAGAGTAGTCTGATCTCGAAATTACCAGCACATGGACCAGCATGGTGAGGGACCCAGTGTCAAGGTAGGGATGTAGCTGGGCAATCCACTTTAGCTGGAAATAAGCAGATGGGACCACAGATGCTATCTGAGATGTTATTGATAGCAACTGGTCCAAAAGCATGCCCAAGCTATGAACCTTATCTTTCATGGAAAGAGTGCCCCCCAAAAGATAGGGAGGCACCCAGACCACAGACACTAGGGGCCCCCACCCACAGGATTTCCATCTTGTCCAGGTTCAGCCTCAGTCTGTTGTTCCTCATCCATCCCAGCATCGCATCCAGGCAGTGCTCAAGGGACGGGACAGCATCCACTGCAGAAGGATGGAAGGAGAGACAGAGATGCGTGTCATCCGCATATTAGTGACATGAAGCTCCAAAACTCCTGATGACCTCCCCCAGCGGCCTCATATAGATATTAAATAGTATCTAATGAGGAGGTGGTGGCCCTGCAGCAATCAAAGACCTTGCCAACTTCAACTGATGTCATGGACTGAAATTGTTAAAATTCCCAGGCAAGAACGTCTCAGGTCGAGCCATTCATATCTAGGTCCCTGTGGATGGCCTGCACTTTATGTTTAAAGAAGGCCACAAATTGGTGACTGGAGATGCTCCTGAGAGGCTTGTCACTGTGACCAATTCTGGATAAAACAATTGCGAAATTTGTTTTGTATACAATGCAAAGTGGTTCCACTTGGTGGTCCTTCACTTATCCAGCGAGCGAAGTAGGATTTTCTTATAGCCTTCTCTTTGGCTAAATAAATATTTGACACCATTTTAGTGGCATTTAAGTTAGCTACCATCGGGGCCTGTCTCCAAATGCCCTCTCGCCTCCTATTATGCTTCATTCCCCCACAACTGTTGGTTATACCAGGCAGAGAGTGGAAGGGGTGTTTAGGAGCGATCCTGAGACTACATGAGCTGAGGAGGGGAGTTACAGGACATTTTGGAGATTGCTCTTCCATAGGGTCGCCATAAGTTGGAGGTGAATCGACGGCACATAACAATAACAAATGGGACACATTTTAAAAATGCACTGTATTCACTGTGTTTTAAAGTGTACATGTGAAACATCCGATGTGTGCAGATTTTTAAATGTAATGTATGGAGGGTTCTTCAGTGTCAACATTTGTATAACTTGAATGAAAGTTGTTTCAGGTCTTGAATAGAAATGGAATGTACGATCCAGGCTTTTGTTTCTCTGTGATCAGTTATAAGAATATAAAAGGTGCCTTTACTTTCCATGTTAGGAATGTCACAAATGGCATGGGACATTTGTAGGACGAGCCTGTGGACATCATGGTCCTTACGTCCCAGATGTTCTCTTCTGGTCAGTCATCTTATTCTTTTCTACAGTTACACTATCGTCCACGCTGAAGCAGTTCAAGACCAGTCGATATTTTCCAACCAAGGTAACTTGCATTTTTTTTTGAGACTTTAACAAATACCACTGTACTGCAAACAGAGGGACGTGTTTTTGCCTCTAAAGATGTCAGTAATGAAACTTTCTTTGGATCATAGGGTACAGATTTGTACCTGTAATGTTCTCTTTTTAGAACAGCATTTAACATGATAGTAACATGTTGATATTTGAGAATGGAAAAGAAGGAGGGGAAGCAACGGTGTATTTTATTTGTCTTCCTTGTTTATATAAGAACAAAGAGTAATTGGCAGGAACACATGAAGCATAGTCAGCTCAATTTAGGTAGAAATATAAATGTGCATCACAGGCTTTAATGAGGGCTCATGGGGATTCAAAGGTCTTAAATAGAATCCCACTGAATAAGAAGTGTTCCAGAGTTTCTTGATCTGAAGTGAGAAAAGTCCAGAAGGTTGTTCTGGGTTTTTCGGGCTCTTTGGCCGTGTTCTGAAGGTTGTTCTTCCTGACGTTTCGCCAGTCTCTGTGGCCGGCATCTTCAGAGGACAGCAACCTGTGCTCCTATTATGCTTCTCTGAACTGTGGAGCAGAGCTCTCAGAGATGATGACTGCTTCATGGTGAGGTGACCACTAGAGATCACTCTGTATGCTGTTCTTGAAAAGTAGCATTGTGACAGTTCAATTCTTGAACCAGAGGCACTTTTTTCAAGTACTTCAAAACAGTAACAGCATCCTAAAGCTTGGAGTAGTCAGTTCCCCAGGTATGTATGTGTTCCTAGAACCATGCACAACCGTTCATTTTTTGCTACCACCTCTGAAATTCAGAAGCAATGGTAGCACATCGCTATCATACTACAGAAGGCTGGAGCCCTACAGCAGTGGTTCTATTCAGGTGTTTTTGAACTGCAACTCCCAGAAACCCCCACCCAGCACAGCTGGTGGTGAAGGCTTCTGGGAGTTGCAGTCCAAAAACACCTGAGTAACCCAAGGTTAAGAACCATTGGCCTACAGGATTGCAGGACAGGAAATTTACTTCCTTTCTTGAAGTAACATGGAAGAAAGAATAGGGAGAAAATTATCATATTGGCCCGAGGCAGTAAAGATTGCAGAACAAGGATGGGTCTATATGTGGCCCATCCTTGTCCTAAATTATCCAGCCCTTCACTGTTAATTTTAACAGAGCAGTTGACTGTCACCATGCAAAACAACACTATTGTCTGTGAAGATTCTCAGTCATCCAGGTGAGGTTATCTGGAAGCTGAGTCATGGCAACTGGACTTCTTTCTTATTAGATTGAAATGTTTCGCTATTCATCCAAGTGGCTATTGAGACCGGGGGGGGGGATGGGTGAAGTGAAACCAATGTGGAGGATATATCAGGGGTCTCCTACCAACTCTCCTCAGATTGAAGAAGCTACTTGGATGAATAGCAAAACGTTTCAGCCTAATAAGAAACATGATTGTCCAGCTTAACTTACTTTACAAATGTGGTTTCTGAGAAGTGCCATTAATTCCTTTCATTCATTAATTATGATTAATTAATTTCTTGCCTTCCCTAAATTAGTGCTTTAAATGTGTGTGTGCGTTTGTGCGCACGTCCGTGCGTGTGCATGCATACCAAAGAAGTCACACCCTCTGTAATAATTAAACTTACTTATTGGCCAGAACTTTCTTCTTTGTGCCAGTGTAACACAAATGGCATGACTTTAGGAAGCAAATGCTTCAAGATAAGAAATTACCTTAGACATTATTGGTTGCCTACTGGGTTGTTGTGACCCACCATGGAACTAATGATGTCTGCAGTAATTGCAGACGTAAGTGCTCTTATGTCTGATTAAGGGGATTTGTCTACGAAAGCTCACATTAAAAAAAATCTAAAAGTTTTTAAGATCCCTTGTTTTTGTCTTTTTAATTTTTATTTTGTTTTCACCTATAATTTTTGCACAGATTAATACAGCTACCCTTTCTCCAGCTGCAGCAGTTTCTTAACTTGAGGCAATTTGCTTTCAAAAATTACACCACTTGTTTAGATATGCAAAAGGATTAAAGCCATTATGTGTAGTTTCCATGGAATGTATGAAATTAAGATATTTCTTTCTTCCTTCTCTTGTTTGAAATGGGGCTCCATGAACTAGCACACAGTTGCTTAACTAGAGCAGAAGAGCTGACAGAAAATAGGTGCAAGAACAGTGAGCACTGTTCTCCTAGTGCTCCTTCATATAGATCTTTCTTTACTGGGAATTTTATTATTATTATTATTATTATTATTATTATTATTATTATTATTATTATTATTATTATTATTATTATTATTATTATTATTATTATTATTATTATTATTATTATTATTATTATTATTATTATTAAAGGATTCACTGGCGCTGACAATTCGCTTAATGTATCCCCAGGTTCGGTCTGTAGTGAGTGACTTCGCGGTCTTTCTGACCATCATGTGCATGGTTTTGATAGACTATGCCATTGGGATTCCATCACCAAAGCTTCAGGTTCCAAGTACTTTCAAGGTAATTCCTTATCCAGCTGCATATCACACTTTGCTAAGAAAGAAAAGTAAGACATTTGCTGGAACAACTGTTCTAAAGGATCTACACACAATCCTTTCTGAAGTGGATTGAAATATTGTTAATCTGAATGCATACGTTGTTCAAAACATTTTTTTAAAAACACCAGAGAAGATACAGAGCAAGGTGTTCCTGAAAGGCAATATGGGAGGGTCTAAGGAGATTTGATCAGTTTAATTAAGTGCATTCCCAGTTGCATTCTTGCCCCATTTCCAGTGATTTCCATGTTGGACCTCCATGGTTTTGTTTTGTTTTGGTTTGGTTTTTTGCAGCACTAATGGGGGAGGGGTAGATATTGTTCTCCCCTTCCCCCCCCCCAAAAAAAAGTGTTTTGTCAGCCTAATCTAGCATGGCCAGTAGTCAGGGATGCTGGGAAGAGCTGCATGGTTCTTCATCCCAGCCAGGGGGCATAGAAGAAGCCTCCCCAAAGAGTTGAGAAAGCATTGTGAGTACATTCGGGCATCCCCTGGGCAAACTCATGCAGCCGGCTAGTCCTTCACTTCCAGAAGCATTGCGCTGGAACCACACCAGACCCACCCACGCCATGGACATGGGCCCCCTGGATGATGGCTGAAGTTGGAGTGACTTTTCCATCAGTCATGGGCATGGGCCCCCTGGATGATGGCTGAAGGCAAGGAAATGTTTCTGCACACATCTCAGGCTCTGACCACTTCTGATCCAAAATAATCTCCTTATCTTGAGGTCTTGTTTTGTTTTATTTATTTTGGCTGTATTCCCTGTGAGTTAATGATTTAGAATTGTGCAACATTCTGATACAAATAAAGAAAGACCCCTGCCATACACGTTTGATTCCAGAGGGGCTCGCTCACTTACAAAGTGTGATTGTAGATATTGGAATTTTCGTTCCCCTTTGGCAATTCGATGTTTGCACTCATGCTTTTAGTGTCCTCCCTGACACAGCATCTCTCTGATATCATTGCACAATGCTGTGCAGAGCTGACAACATACAACACTTTGTATGTGCTTTGACTCTGACTTTTTTCCTTTTTTAAATTGGAGAGGGAATATTGGCTGAGTTGTTTATCCTGCAGGTGACTGCAGAGGTTCCATAAAGATACCACAAACACTCTGAAATTTGCTCCTGTTTTCTTAGCCCACCAGAAATGATCGTGGCTGGTTTATCACACCCGTGGGTCCTAATCCTTGGTGGACAGTCCTGGCTGCTGTGATTCCAGCTCTTCTTTGCACTATTCTGATATTTATGGATCAGCAGATTACAGCTGTTATTATAAACAGAAAGGAGCATAAATTAAAGGTAAGTTAACACCACAGTAGTGGTTTTAATCTGTCTGGCTATTACTGTTCTTGGAAAATGTAACTATGCAACACAGCATATCTCTCTCTCTCCGTTTTAATCTGTCTGGCTATTACTGTTCTTCGAAAATGTAACTGTGCAACACAGCATCTCTGTCTCTCTTCCTTCCCCCCTCTCTCTCTCTCTCTCTCTCTCTCTGTGTGTGCGTGTGTGTGCGTGTGCGCGCCTGTGTGCGCGCGCATGCGCGCGTATATGTATGGGAAAGACTGGAATATGATATTTGAATGATAGAGCATTTTAACCAATAAGAATCTGTGTGGCATTAACCAATACAAACTGGGAAGTTAACTGTCAGATATATAAAGCAAGTGGTCGGTCAGGTTGTATTATGAATGCTATTTCAGCTTCCTGATCACACAGCAGCTTCTCAAGTACTTTGAATGTTTCTTTCTCTGTGGGTCTTGTTTGTTTGTTTTTGGCCTAGTGCTCAGCGGGCCTCAGGCCATCTACACCTATGTCCAAAGAAGACAACACACTGTGTTTTTTTTTGGGGGGGGGAGAGAAGAAAAGGCCACAATGGTCACAGCGGCAGCCCCTGGCCCAGCACTGAGAATCCCCCCGATGCCCCCCCCCGTTGACCCAGTCAGCAGATGCTGAAGGTTCTACCAGGAGTGGCAGTCCTCTGGAGACCACATGGACATATGCCGCTCCATGACTCCCTGCCGCCTGAGGGCAGGGTCATACCAACAGGCCCCGGAGCTAGGCTAGACCACAGCCCTGCCCCAAATCCTCATTCAGAATCACTTAGCAACCTGGGCCAGCAGGCTTCTCCTTGCTGCCTTCTCATACTGTCTGGATCCGGCCCCAGTGCCCCAAATCACTGGGTATCACTCAGTTTCTACCAGAGAACTGCAGCAGCAACCCATCTGCTTTTGCCATGCTGATACCCCTTAGCCAAATCTCTTGCCCTCCAATCTGACAAGGGAACCCCATCTGAATGGAAAAGATACAGTATGTCCATTTAAATGAAATATTTGGTTGCTTAATCCAGCCACCACTCCACACCGGCAGTCACTCTGGTCACCTTTTGTCTTATGAGATCCACCTTCCGTGGATACCTGGCCCCATGCCCCACTTGTCTTCAAGGTCTGACCATGTAATCTGAATGGTGGGTTTCCTCACCAATCCACTTTCTGTGCTATGTATTAGTAATTCATATTCAATTATTATTTTTATTTTTCATTTCATGCTGGGGTCTGATAGAGCTCTATCCCCCATTGCCATGCTTCCTTCCTTTCTCCCATATCCATTTCCTCAAGCTTAGGTGCCAATGAGAGGGAAGCTTAAATCCACTCACTGCTGAAAAGTGACCTCTTCGCCCACCCTTTCTAACTTTGAGAGACTTAGCAGGTTTAAAGGTTGGTGATGAAAAAGAAGCATAGATTGTGCAGCCTGTTAGGCATCAGCTGCTTGAACTGGCTACGAGGAAGGCGTGCCTTGTCCCTTGGTTCAACCTGTCTCTGTATCTCTGATCTGGTTCCTGATAGCTGTGTGCCTCTGTTAGATAAAGGTTAAGGTTCCCCTTGACATATAGTCCAGCTGTGTCCGACTCTAGGGCACGGTGCTCATCCCCGTTTCCAAGCTGTAGAGCCAGCGTTTGTCCGTAGACAGTTTCTGTGGTCACGTGGCCAGCACGACTAGACACGGAATGCCGTTACCTTTCCATCGTGGTGGTATCTATTTATCTGCTCGCATTTTTACATGCTTTTGAACTGCTAGGTTGGCAGGAGCTAGGACAAGAGACGGGAGCTCACTCTGTCGCGTGGATTCGATCTTACCACTGCTGGTCTTCTGACTTTGCAGCACAGAGGCCTCTGCAGTTTAACCCACAGCGCCACCACGTGCCTCTGTTACTAGAGTGCTTCTGCAGTTTAACCCACAGTGCTACCACGTGCCCCTGTTACTAGAGTGCAATGAACAAGTGACTCCAGAAAAGGGTGGCATCTGATGTAAGACCAGTGCACACATTTCTGCACATGCTCTGTCCACTCTAGATAGCATGCCAGCCATCCAGTTCCCCTGCAGACAACAACTGGGTACCCAGGACAGCTCTAATTGTGCCAGGGTGGAGAAGCTGTAGCCCTTTAGATTACTGCTGGACTGTCAGCTTGCATTGTGAAAGGTGGCCCGGTCCAATAATACACTGGAGTCACCCCATTTCTAATGTTCTAACTACACATTTAGTGTACTGTTGAATGTTTTAAGCTTGCTTTGTTTTGTTTTGAAATGTTGCCATCTTGTCTAAGAACTTGGTTACAAGGTGGAATCAACAACATCTTTCTTTCTTGTTTGTTTGTTTAGGCTGCATTTCTCCCGATAAAGGGACTCAAGGCAATTTACAGTATTTACATTTTGATGCCTTTAAAATAAATGCTAAAAGCATTGTACAATAAAATATACAAAATTTAAAAGGATAATTAAAATGCATAATACAAGACAACACTCCTTTGCAAGAGCAGTCAGTTGGCTTATGGCTGATATTTAATTATACCCCATCAAATATGTTTGAGTTAAGAAATGTCTTAACCTAGCTATGACATGATGAGAATGCCAGCACCTGGCAGGTCTTCCAGGGGAAAGCATTCCATAAGCGATAAACTCACTTGTTGCTTTCTCTAAATAAATAAGGTTGACAAGGCTAGTGATCCAGCAAGGTTCCTGAGGGGTATAGAATGATTATAAACAGGGGTATCTTGTGAACTGAGCAATAGCAGCAGCTTACTTCCAAATTTCCCCTCCCTTGGTCATGGGTTGCCTATTATAATTAAAACATCTTCACTAGAGATGGGCACGAACCAGTTCATCCCAGTTTGTAAAGGTGGCACCACAGGTGCTGATGCTCCCTTCCCCAGCCTTCACCCACCAAGCCCAGTGTGGTAGCTTCCAGCACCTCCTCCACTGATCTTCCAGTCCCAACAACAGCTCACGCTTCTCTGCCCCTCCCCTTTTGGCTGATCTCCCACCTGTGCTCTTGCTTGTGACTGGCAGATCAGCCGAGTAGGTGGGAAAAACAAACAAGCTAGGCCTGGTGAGTGGCTGAATTGGCTGAAGGGGCAGAGGAGGGGGCCTATATGAACTGGGATAAACTGGTTCGTGCCTATATCTAACCTTCACTGAAACAAAAAGCAGCTGTCAAGCCAGGCAACTTTGGTTGCTCATTGGAGCAGCAAGGGGTTTGTGGATTGTTGAGTTGCATTGGTTTGTTTAAAATACAAGAGGACTGAAAGCACAAATCCAGCCACTTAAATTACATAGCAAATGAAAGAGGGAGACAAATTAACCTGCAATGAAGGTATCAATAAATCTTTCACTTGCTTCTCATTTATCACATACAGTGTTAGACTAGTTGCTAATTAGAGATGTCTGCTGTTCAAATGTTTATCCAGGATGAAGGCAGGTATCACCTTTTATCTTGTTACTAATGTTTACTTTTGGCTTTCTTTCTGCAGAAGGGCTGTGGATATCACCTGGACTTGATGATGGTGGCCATCATGCTTGGGGTGTGCTCCCTTATGGGTCTGCCATGGTTTGTGGCTGCCACCGTTCTCTCCATTTCTCATGTGAACAGCTTAAAGCTGGAGTCCGAATGTTCTGCTCCAGGAGAACAGCCCAAATTTCTTGGCATCCGCGAGCAACGTGTCACAGGACTCATGATATTTGTCCTTATGGGGTCATCTGTGTTTTTGACCAGAATTCTCAAGGTAGGTTCAGGATCTGGGAGGAGAAGGCCTAAGTGTGCTATGTCCATATAGGTTTACTCTCACTGAGACTCATGGATGAATTATAGCCTAGTGTGTTTAAACTCACAAAGAGGTTTGGCCATGATCTGTCAAGCTTTTTCTTCATATTTAACCAGAAATCATATCAACCAGAACATATCATGAGAAAACAAGACTCAGTGAAAAAGTCAATAATTCTAGGAATAAGTGGAAGGAAATTTGAAAAAAAGGAAGACCTAATATGAGGTAGATTAACAAAATAAAGTCTGAGCAAGGCTGTAAACAATAACATCATTTGCAGATCGTTAGTTAATGGGGTCACTGTATGTTGGAAGCAATAGCCAGCAAACCTGCAACTTCATTGAAAACCTACTTCCTTTCTGATTCAGAGGTTCCTGCCATTCAAGTATGCAATTTCTTACACCCACTGTAGCAGTCAGGCCCTTAAAATCATTACCTGCAATTTGTGGTAAAGTTTGCTGAATGAAAAAATAAATTGCAACACAATATGGCAGCTGCAAATTTTCTGAAATTGTTTGTAATTTGTTTGATGTTTTCTCATATTTTGATTTGCCCATCAAGTCCCACCTGCTGGTGGAAGGACCTAATCACATAGAGTTCATGGAGTAGTAATTAGCTTCTAAGTATAGATAAGGAATCCAGTGGGCATCTCCCCATTGTTCTGTGCAGAGAGCATCTCTTGAATCACCCACACATCTGCCTCTGGAAACAGACAGAGCCCCACTTCCACCTCCACTTGAAGAGATGGAAAGGGGCAAGCCTAGGACCAGTGGGCATGGTCAGCCTGTGAATTCTTCTCTGCGTGTGTTCTGTCACCTTGGATTTGATAATGAAAACGTGATCTATATTTTATTTCCCAATCTTAAGGGTTTCACACCTGCAACTGTATGATGCAGAACACATGGTTGGGTTTCGGATGGGCTCAGTGGTCCCCAACCTTGGGCCTCCAGATGTTCTTGGACTTCAACTCCCAGAAATCCTGGCCAGCAGAGGTGGTGGTGAAGGCTTCTGGGAGTTGCAGTCCAAGAACATCTGGAGGCCCAAGGTTGGGGACCACAGGGCTAAGTGAACTGGCTGGACAGCTCAGTGAGTTAGGTGCCTTGCTGCAGGCGCCGAGGCTGGGAATTCTGTTCCCCTCTGTGTCTTGTAGGAGAAGATCCAGCCTATATAGTCTTGGGCAAGCTATACATTCCCAAGAGGAGATTGTGCCCTAGGAAAAAAAATGGTAAAAATTCAGAGTACTCTATACCTAGGAGACCCTGAGAGGGATTGCTATAAGTTGGAATGGAGTTCATGGCCCATCTTTAATGTGCTTCATGAGACATAATTACTTTTTCTGGGTTCATAAGAAATGCTGATGTTCAGAGAAGTGGGCTAGCTATAACAGGATATGCGCCACTCCTGTTGATTAGAGGTAGGGAAGTTAAGGGGGACATCCACCCCGATAGCTGAACTGAGATCTAGTCTCTTCTTTTCTGTTTCCCTCTTTGCAGTTTATTCCCATGCCCGTGCTTTATGGCGTATTTCTGTATATGGGTGCCTCTTCTCTAAAAGGAATTCAGGTAAAGTAGTGTGAGTGTGTAGGATGTTTCTTTCCCCGATGACTGTGGTCACTCTTTCCACCTCATTGTTGCTTGCATTCTACATGACAATGTAAAAGGCATATCAAAGATGAAAGGGAGGCATTCTTTGACTGCGGAGGGGGGGGGAATGGGACTGGGGGTTTTTTTGAGCACTTCATTTTATAGATCTACATGTGATTTGCAGTTAGTTCTGTGTTTACTCTCTCTCCCCCTCCCCCTCATCTCCTTGCAATCTGATAGTTACAGCTACTGTCTATGCTAGACACTTATCTGTAGCAGAGAATGAAAAGTGACACTTTGCATTGGCTATAATTTCCCTATAGATACGAGTGATGACAGCCAATCTACAGTTCAGTTTTCAGTGCCCTTTTTTTGGGAGTAATTGTACTTTTTAAAGTTTCATTGAAAGATGTCTAGGGAAGAGATTGCCAGTCTGTGCAACGCACAGGGCTCCAGGAGGCCAGAGATGTTGCACACCTGGCCATTTCAGTTCTTTTCTGCATGATGCTGCTGCCGTTGCAGAAGGATGCAAGGGGAGCCATGCCACGACATTATGTTTTTCTGGGGCACAAAGCATGGCTTTGCTCGTGTGTCCTGTTTCCCACTGAAACCATGAGAAAAGAGGATTGCTAGGTGGAGGCTGAGGTTAAAACCTTTTTCTCTCTTCCTATAGATCCGAATCAGGGCGTTGGATGCCTGCTCACATGTATATATACACACACATGCATCATCATTCACCACCTGTGGCTCTCAGGGCCATAAAGGTTTCCATCCCTTCTTTAGAACAAAAACTGTGCCATCATTTCACTCCTGCAAAAAAAATTGAATGATGGGCTTTTCTTTTGACAGCTTTTTGACAGAATCAAGTTATTCTGGATGCCTGCCAAGCACCAGCCGGACTTTATCTACCTGAGACATGTTCCTCTCCGGAAAGTCCATCTCTTCACAGTAATCCAGCTGAGCTGCCTCGTGCTTCTGTGGGTGATCAAGGCTTCGAGAGCTGCCATTGTGTTTCCAATGATGGTAGGGGTCCACTTCCTGTAGCCAAGAAGGCTGCCCTTCTTAACTCGTACTAGGAGAGCCAAATGGAGAAGCTTCTTAGCCAAATTTATGCTAGATTTGAAAGATAACTGCGAAGGGGGAAAGCGTTGTTCTTCTGGATGCACATCACATTGTTCTTTTATTATTGAACTCAGTATTCAAGAGGTTTCTTTGGTACTCTCCCCTCCAGGGACTGACCAGCCCCTGACTTTGTAACCTCTGTGAGGCAAAGACATGTATCCCAGGAGCCCTTATTTTCTTAATTGGGGTTTTGGTGACCTAACCTTCTCTCACTCAAGACTCTTTCTCCCATAATTGTTGCAAGGAGTGCCTTAGCACAGCATGAGACAGATCCATGTAGCAGTTGTGACATGTGACTCACAACGAGTCACATCCTTAATCACATGGAGAGTGTTGATGCCAGATTTACTTGCCTTCCATGTCTTCCCTGTGGTGGTTATAACATTAAAGAATTGACCTATAACATGTATACAAGCCATTGTGCTAAAATGTAATATAAGGATTTACCATGCTGAACCCATCCTTGCTTTTATACACATATCTGGAGGTACAGGCGTGTGTTAACTTCAGTGGTGGGACACAAGTGTGGTACCTGTGAATTCTTTTTAAAAAAAACAAAAGATTAGGGCTGTGGAATTTGTCTGACCAGTCAAGAACATCTTACTGTATTATGAATATTCTGACTAGGTCTTGGCATTGGTGTTTGTCAGAAAACTCATGGACTTATTTTTCACCAAACGCGAGCTAAGCTGGCTGGATGATTTGATGCCTGAGAGCAAGAAAAAGAAACTTGAAGACGCTGAAAAAGAGGTAGGCTTCGTTTGCCCATCTGTTTCTTCCTTCTTTCCTTGCTTCCTGTCTTCATCAGCAAAACGGACATCTTAGTTGTTTGTTTGGCGCAACCTTCAACAGTTTTCTGAACATTGCTTAGAAAGATTCACATAGCAAATCTAAGTGGTGGTTCTATAAGGGCATGTTTCTAATCCATTCAGGCAGACTCCACTAAGCAGGGTGGTTTCCCACCCCCACTTTATCCCTCCAGGCAGCAAAGGGCAGTTTTATCACCAAACCAAAGTCAATTCATTTTTTTCTCCATCACAATGCCCGTTTTAATTTAAATGCATCACCTATGCTCCCAATTCCAAATCTGCATGACTAGAAGGGCCATGTGTTTAGCCTGTTTTTTCTTGTTCCTCATCACTTCTCCTTCCAACCCTTAGATCTGAATGGTGACAAAAACAATACTAGAAATATACACTGGGGGCTTCTTTCACTTTTTTAAAAAAATACTCCATTCCGGTCTTTTTGAGGAGATATATTTTGCATGTTATAGCATTGCTGAATATTTGAGGCTATTATTAAGCTTGCTCAGCTGTCAAAATCCTAAGAAGCCACGAAGCCTAGAAATGACAAAAATAACTAGAAATAAAAATTCTGACACAAAGCCTCTAGAATTTAGTGAGAAAGGCATGACTACGCTAACTTTAAAAATAGAAAGAGGCCCTATATATAAGTAGAAATGAAGGTGACAAGATATTTTTAAAATGCTGATTTGATTGGATCCAGATTCGTATTCTGTGACTTGCTTTCAGTAAGAGGGGAAAAAACCCAGCTGTGATGGTCATAAAATGTCAAGGCAAGATATAGCATTTAAAGTGAGTTCTGTTGCGTGTATTTCATCCAAAAAATTGTTCTTGTGGTGATTTTTTTTCAGCTATTCTTCACCATCACGATGAATTGTACTTGCTTCCCATCAAAATCTAGATCTAGATAATCTAGATACATTTCAGTCTGGCCTCGGGGCTGGTTAGAGGGATGGAGACAGCTATGGTCGCCTTGGTGGCTGACCTACGCCAGGAACTGAACAGAGTGAGCGTGTCCCCCTTGGGTTCTGCTAAACCCATTTTTTTTCAGCTATTCTTCACCATCACGATGAATTGTACTTGCTTCCCATCAAAATCTAGATCTAGATAATCTAGATACATTTCAGTCTGGCCTCGGGGCTGGTTAGAGGGATGGAGACAGCTATGGTCGCCTTGGTGGCTGACCTACGCCAGGAACTGAACAGAGTGAGCGTGTCCCCTTTGGGTTCTGCTGAACCCCTCAGCAGCTTTTGATCCCATCAACCATGGTATCCTTCTGGACCCTCTCCCTGGGACGCGATTTGGAAGCACTGTTTTATCGTGGCTCCAGTCCCTTCTGGAGGCGAGAACTCAGAAGGTGGCTCTGGGGAGACCCCTGATCAACACCCTGGCTAACGTCCCTTGGGGTTCTGTTTTGTCTCCTGTACTATTTAATATCTACATTGAAGTGCTGGGAGAGGTTGCCCAGAGTTTTGGGGTTCATTGTCACCAGTATGTGGATGATATCCAATTCTATTTCTCTTTTCCATCAAAATCCGAGACAGCTATTCCAGTTCTAGAGATGTTTCTGATGGCAGTAAAGGACTGGAATAAGGTGAATAAACTGACACTTAATCCAAACAAGACAGAGGTGCTCCTAGTTAATTGAAAGACAGATCAAGGAACAGGGATGCAGCCTGTGCTGGAGAGGGTTACACTCCCTGTGCAAACACAGTTTTGCAGCTTTGGTGTGTTCCTGAACTAATCTCTGATGCTCAGATTTTGGTGGTGGCCAGGAGTCTTTTTGTACCATTAAAACTAGTGCACCAGCTGCGCCTGTTTCTTAAGAGGTCTGACCTGGCCACGGTGACACATGCGTTAGTTACATCCTGACTGGATTACTGTAATGCACCTTTAGTGGGGCTGCATTTGGAAAGTCCTTGGAAACTTCCGTGGGTCCAAAACACTGTAGCCAGATTGTTAACTGAGGCTGGTCAGAGGGATCACATAACCCTCCTGTTATAGCAGCTGAATCTGCCGTTGTACAGAAACAGGTTCAAGCAAGAATGTGTTTGCTCACATCAATCCTCTTTTATCCTAGGAGGAACAAAGTATGTTAGCAATGGAAGAGGAAGGGACAGTCCAGTTGCCACTTGAAGGACACTATAGGTAAACCACTCAGTTCTAGTGACTTTCCTCTCTTTTTAAAAAAAAAAATAAATGAATGAATGAATGCTAGGCATATCATGGGCTACAAGAGATGTGGAGTAGTAGATACACTCAGATCCTCCCTACTGGAAAAGAACATTTTAAAGCATCTGTGGTGAGAAGAGGGGATTAAATTGAAGCAGATGCCCAAGGAGGACTGTGTTTAAACTTCCCCCTGTTCCATTTTCCTGACCAGACTCTTCTCTTCTCCACCCCACCTCCACACATGAAAAGGTACACAGATACTTCTTTCCCAGCAGATTTTTCAGATATTAGCAAGGATGATTTTCACAGAAAAAAAAATGTTATCTTCTCCGACATTTCTACTCCTTTCCAAATGTAAAGGTCAATGCACTGCTTTCAAATTAGAGATCTCCTGTATCATATCTGTTTTGGCTCTGACCTTGTGCAGAATCATGAAACATTTTGTTCCACCCATTGGCAGTAACACAGGCCTCACGTTGGTTTGTTGTACATTCAGGGTGTAGACTTAACTGTATGGAGCAAGAGAGAAATCATGTTTTGAGCCAGTTAAAGCCAGCTGTATCTACCGTTGTTTAGAGGAATACTGTTCAGGCACCCATGAACATCTTATATGCAGTCCTGTATGTGGCGATTTTAACTTTTGTTTCCCACCTGTTTCTCCACACGGCTCTTATCCAACAAGAAGAGGTGGACATGGCAGCCTCTTTGGCCAGTGGTATTTTGAACGGTACAAAATGTAGATTAATAAGTAAGAAGAAACAACCACCACAGGAATGCTTAGAACGTTAAGGCCCTGAACTCCAGTGCACAGTATAAGTCCACACCACTTACAAGTGTTTTATTCCCATTTACTTCAATGGCAAGATGCTTAATACATGAAAAGAGATCTCTATGTGTAGAGTCCAACTCCTCTGAAAATGAATAAGGAAATTACTTTTGATATACATTAAATTATTCGGAGAGCTAAATTATCCTCATTATAAGCATCTGAGCTCTATTTTATACATTTTCGATAGTAGTTTCAGATGTCTTTTTAATCCAGTGTTCACATAGATCAGAGAACAGTGTTTGATTGAATCTACCTGTGTGTGTACTAATTATTTTCCAGAGATGATCCATCTGTAATAAATATTTCTGATGAGATGTCAAAAACAGCCGTGTGGAAGACAATGTTGATATCATCAGACAATACTAAGGAAAAGGAGTCCAGCTTTCCTTCTAAAAGGTTTTTTTTTTCCTAATTTCTTATAGATATACCATATGCTTTATTACTGTGCATAGATTTTACATACTGTGATAGGCTGAAATGCCAACCCAATATAGTACATTAGTGTGTGAACTCAGATAATCCAGTCCTTCTGCATACATCCAGTCCCTTCCAGTCCACACTGCCAGTGGACTATCACACAGCATCCTTAGTGCATCACAGGGCAATGCATTTACAGGCTTCTGTGTCACCCAACATCCAGTCCCTTCCAGTCCACACTGCCAGCGGACTATCACACAGCATCGTTAGTGCATCACAGGGCAATGCATTTACGGGCTTCTGTGTCACCCAAGTGTGCACACACACAGAGAGAGAGAGTTTTTGCAGCCATACAACCTTTAAAACCCATTGAATGTTTTTGATAAGCTCCCCTGCCCTGTTCTTAGAGCCTGCTGTCTTACCTCCCTCTATGTCAAGCCCAGTTCTGAAACCTGCAAAGGAAGGAGTTGAGGGGGGCGGTCATGAGAGATGCCTCCTATGTCAAGCCCAGTTCTGAAACCTGCAAGGGAAGGAGTTGAGGGGGGGCATGAGAGATGCCTTTGGGCGGGATGCACAAGCCTTCCTCATCAGCTTGCAAGAAGGTTCCTGCATTTCCACCATCCAGCCCTGCCTTCATCTGTGACCCTACAGGTGGCAGACCACAAAGCTTATCTGCCATCTGTAAATTTGAAGGGTAACGCGTGACTCTTTGCACAAGGAATCCAGGGAAGGGAAGGGCTTAGGTTCCCCATTCCTCAAGATGTATTTTTTTTGTACATTTGTTTCCTCAGTTTTGTGGTGCTGATATTGCAAGTTTTTGCCCCACAGCTGCTGCGACACTGATCCTGCTAGTCACCTTGCATGTGGAAATGTCATCATAGGGATTTGGAGTAGCAGGAACCATAATTGGGCTTAATGGCATTTCTGCAAGAGTATGTATGCCTGTCACTTACAGAAACCTCCACATGGAATGGAGGGTAAATAAATCCCTACCCATGGCTCCCCTCCTTTCCCAGCTGCTGTTTGGTTTTTTTTAAAAAGGCATATAGAATTCCTGCTCTTTAGATGGGTTCTGTCTTCTGCCTCTTCCCCTTCCTAATAGTCTGGTTGTCTTTGGATCATAAGTCTACAACCAAGGACTGCTCTTTTTAACTTAATTATGGGACAGCAGCTAATTCTGAGGTGCTTTATAAATTGTTGTTAGTGCTAGCACACACACACACACACACACACACACACCTGCATTAATGCCTTGAGATGATCTGGGCTCAAAGGGTGTGTTTCTCTTAAGGCTGTCAGGCAGCAGCAGCGTCACCGTGCTTCTATCACTGTGGTGAGCCTGCTGCATTGTCACCATCTAAGCTAAGCTGCTAGAAGCAAGAAAATGGGGACGTGACAAGAGGTTCTTGTTTCTTACGGACTTGGTGTGGAACCTTCCACGCTTGGCCCTAATTCCCTAGCACTTTGTGCAAGGGGGGAATCCACTAAACACTTGCATCAGAGGAAGTCACTCCCGTGTAACGAGAAGCCAGAGAACATTGGGGCAGACATAGAGCACTCTAGCCACAGAGCCTTTACGCTTTCAACAGGATTTTAGCATCAGACTAGAATATGTGATGTAGGACCTAATGTCACTGCAAATCATCTGTCATTTGTCTTTTTTAACTGGATAGGTACATTAGAGGGGGCAGATGCAAAAGAGGGCAGGGCTACTGTACTTTTAATAGCTGTGTGGAAGAGGGAATTATATCAAGTAATGGCTTTTAACCTATTGATGTACAGGAACACTCTTTTATTTCACTTCTGGACTGATAGGAATGTGAGTTAGCATGCTCATTTCACTTTCAGAAGATCACTTTACCTGGGGTCTTTCTCCAAGAAGGACTCCCAGAAAACCTTACAGATAAACCAATTTTTTAAATGCTCCAAGGTTACCCCTGTATGCTGCCTTACAATTGAAAAGGCCTAAGACAAAAGGAAAGATGGATGGGGAAGGAAGAAGGGAAAAGCAAACTCTGGTCACAGTTCCTAAATGTACAGTCACTATAATGACGAGCATGACAACTGTTGAGGGAAGCTAATGGAATGGCTCCCTCTAAATGACAGGAGAGAAAAAAAAATCAAACCTAGTTTGTCTCTCAGTTCTCATAAAATGAAAGATCACATTTCTTCTTCTGGCACCCCCTTCCAAAGCAATGTTTCAGTATCAACTCTCTCTCTCTCTCATGCTACACCTTAAAGAGGAGAATAAATCTGGCCAAATTTCAGGCTGCTAGGTGTAGGGGGTTGCATTCTAAGGTCTTTAGAATTCTGCTTTTAAAAAACTCAGTCTGTGTCTGATTGGAATACATTTGTCAACTTATCTCACTCTGGCTATTTTGCTTTGGTACACATTTCATAACAATTGGTCTAAATTGGGCCAGTTTGGGTTAGTAGTTTTTGGTTTTGGCCAGAGTGGGTGCATCGTCCTAATTACAACCTACTGTGTCTGAAGTGGTGGCTTGTAATTCATTAAAGCTCACACTGAAGTAAAACCTCTTAATCATAAAAATCTACAATGCTTTTGTTTTTACTTTTTTTGGAATGTATTTACTTCTAGTCCACTTTAATTCTCCCAGGACTGTTAAAAGAGAGGTGACAAACCTGTTGCCCTCCAGATGGTATTGAACTACAGTCCTCCAGCCCCCATTGGTACAACCAGTGCTCAGGCATGATGGGGAATGTAGTTCAGCAACAGGTGGACGGACATCCATCATGTTCCACTAATGGAACAGGCTGGAAGGGGTGCTGAGCAGCAGGAAGAACAGGATGCTAGTGGGCCCTTCTCCAAGTTCTCCCACGTTCTGGCTGCTGTGTTCATGTCACAGTGGGTCACATCTTCAATTAACAGTGGAAGTTTAAAAACAGAGACCTCCTTTTCTTGCTACCTCTCTGCTGATGAACTGAGCATATATGCAATCTTGTTTAACTGCTGTTTTCCCCCAAAGCGTCATTCATTTTGAATTAACACGATTTTCTACTTAATTGTTCCATTATTCACATTTCTACCCTAAGCTCCCCTTCCTAATCTCTTTTGAAGCTGATCCCCCAAAGGTAAGATCCTGCCCCCTCCCCAACTGCTGCTTTGATTGCTACTGATTGGTGTCTTTCAGAATCCTGGCCGAGTGAACTGTGTGTAAATTTTGGGGAGACAAAATTCAATAGAATGCCATGGAACGTGCCTGCGGAAGGCTGCTTGGTATACACATGTTCTTCTGTGATCATAGAAATCCAACAGGCACATTTGTTTGCTAAGCACTCTCATTTAACCAAAATTTAGAATGTCACGTAGCAGTCTCAGTTACGAGGCAGAAATATGTTAGCTGTAACTTCAATGGCTTGGCTGGGGTGAAGGCACCTGCTTTTCTCCAAGTGTTTTGTCACCCCAAAATGGCATGTGGCTTCTGCAATGTTCTTCCTGTCCCTGAGCAGCATAAACAAGATGATCAGTTGGCAGCTGGAGGCCCACAATCCTCCCGGTCCCTACCTTGAGCCCAGTGTGGCTGCATTCCAAAGGGAGCGGTCCTCCCCAACCAATGACCTTCCCAGGAGTCCCCTGATGGGCATCTTCCAGCCCAGGAGATGGTGCTGATTGGGCAGGAAGCCCCAGGTGATTAGCACCACCTACTGGCTTTTGTCCATGCATGCTCCCTTGTCCCATAGAATGTACACCATTCAAAAGTCACTGGCAGATGATACCTGATTAGGGCCTGGCGGAGTAGACTAGCCATTTCATATGAAGAGCAACAGGCTAGGGACCTCCCCAAGAGCAAATCTGTTTACTGTCCTTGCAAAGGCTTTGGCTTGGGTTGCATGTAGGGCCCTGCCAGCTGGTTTCTGTGCTGCACTTTGTGGTGGAGTCTGTAATTGGAGATGGGGGGGACAGAATAAATTTACAGAGCCAAACGGGCTGAAAAGAAAAGAGGAAGGCTGGTGCAGATGCAGTGTAAACACAAATGGAGTTCCATTTTCTAGAAAGCAGGACAAAATCTGTGCATATGTATGTACAGACTGAGGAACCAATATTTCTGTAGACAAACTAGGTGGCCAGAAGCATGGTTTCCTCATTGTAATGTGTGCAGTCCAATTCAGTCAGGTGATCATGTGAGTTTGCTACTGACTTGGTAGGAAGGGAAAAAGTGTAGATTAAAGGCAATCAATTATTCAGCTTCTTGTTTGTGCAACTTAAAATGCCAGCATTAAAATACATGACCAGTTGTTATTTGCAAAGGAAAGTGTTGCTGTTTAAATCCGTGAAGTGATATTTTTTTGCTTGCATGCTCGCTGATTTGTATGCCGGTTGATTTTACATTTTTTTTTTATTACTCTTTAATTACCTACTTTGCCTTCTTCTTTATCTATGATGTTGACTGGTGTTTTTCATAACCACATATATATCCATAGCAGTGGCATTTCTGCTTATGCTTCCCAGACTGTATGTGGCAGCATGAACAGCGAAGGCAAATGGTGTTGTTTGACAGATGGCTCCCCCTCCTCAGTTTAAAAATGTTGCCATGTGCGGGTTGTCCTCTCCACCAACCAACCTTCCCTTTCTTCTTCTTCTTCTTTTTCTTCTTTTCCCCCAACCTAGCACTGAAAGCCGGAAAGAGAAGAAAGCTGACTCAGGGAAAGGCGTGGACCGCGAGACTTGTCTATGACTTGCTCTTCTGTTTGCCTTTAGAAGCAAATGCGGGGAGTGCCACGATAATAAGTGTACTGCTTTGATCAGTTCATTGTACAACCTGTCCTTCATCCTAAAGTAGCACTGGTAATGTAAGTAGTGCAGTTGTACTTCGGTTCACTGTCTGTTCGTCCTCGCTGGGCCATTTGTACCTGCTGAAGCCAGCCATAGCCAGGGATGGAGTCCCTGTCCGTTCCTTCCCGGGGTTCCAGCGGTCTGAGCCTGTGTCGCCCATTCAAGAAGCGAACAAAGTTCCCGTTCAGGCGTCTCTCCCCGTAGATTTCCTATGTTGCCTCGGTGGCTTATTTTCATTGCTTCTTCATTTCACAAAACAAACACACTTGAAATAGCCCTTGATTTTTCTTTTTTGAAAAATAGCTTAGCTTCCAGCCAGCTATTTCAAGAAACCCAAGCAAACAAGAAAATGTTAGTTTTAGAGCTATTTTTAAAGCAAGGAGTGACTCATTCCTATAAACTTTTAACCATAAGAATGAATCCCCACCCACCCCACACGCACCTGTTTAAAATCATGGCTTTTATGTGTGTGACTGTGTGTGGGTGTGTGTATGCGTGCACATGTGTGTGGGTGTGGGGATGTGTGTGTGTGTGTGTGTCACTTACAGGATCAGACCCTCTATTTGTGCAATTTTCCTTGATTTAATACTGGATATTTAATATTTAAATTTATATGTGACTGGAAAAATAAAGTAATATAATATATAAAGATATATAGGATATAGTTAACATTCTCTCATCTTGTCTGGAAGAAGAGCCACATCTGGTGAGGTGCAATATCCATACAGTATTTGTTGTGAATGCAAGCTATTATTACAATATCTTACACTGTACTGTACTAAATGTTGCAGTGGTGAGTCCAGCAGCTGCACTGTGGCAGAAATGATCTACATTTTTTTTCTAGCTTTCTGGATTATAATCCTTTACAGAACTGTGTAGTGAAGATTTCCTTCCCCCAACTCAGGTTGATTGGTTGGGCTACTTATGCTTGAATACTATACTTAAATTCTTATATATTGTTCTATACTTGTCTGACTAAAGACAAGTATCAGTTTTATCCAGGTAGAAACCCAATATATATATTTTTGCTAGAGGGCTCTTTCCAGTATTTTTCATCACACTCTTGCTGGACAATTCTCTCTCTCTCTCTCTCTCTCTCTCTCTTTCCCTCTTTCCTCTTTTTAGGTGAGGGCGGTGGCTTTTGTTTTGCTTTGTTTTTAGAAGAACGTTTTTGCAATTTGTCAGTAAACTCTGGACAAGACGTCTAGGCAAAAGTCTTGAGCATGTTTCAAGTTACATTGATATCACAAGAAAAGACGTACGATTGTGCTTAACTCTTTCATTGATACCATACTCAAATGTGCTTAAATTAAGTCTATAGTGATGGTCCCATTGAAATGAATGGACGTTTAATACAGGTTTCAGTGGGCCAGATTATGACCACAAAATGCTCACTTTTGAAAACAAAACAAAACTCAATACTTGGCCTTTCTTAGGAATATAATTGAATTCCCTTGTACTTTCCACATATTTTCGAATCGAGGTAACTTTTGTATATGCCATATAGATTGTATTTCTCCTGAGGTTTTTATTATTAGTCAAAGTGCAGTTGTCAATGGCATAAAACGGGATCTGTCCCTTTTCCTACATGCCGCTGCCTATGCTATGAAAGATCTCCATGAGAATCAGTGGAGGCCTTTTCTCTCCTCCCTTTTCTCCTGGGCCATTTTCAATCAGGGTACACAGAGCTAGGTATGGACAGCAAAGTACCCAACCGTTGCCTCTAACAGGATGGTTGAGCACATTTCCTGTATGGATCTGGCCTTACTGTTTGTCCAGATAACTAGGTGCACAGATTAATCATAGTTGGGACTTTCTTAAGTAATCTCTGTATGTGGAGGAGAGCAGAATATGTATGGACAAGAGCTGAAAAGTTCAGTCTCCATCAAGGTGGTCAACTGACCATGTCATTAAAAGGAGCTGTTGGTGCACTGCTAAGGTATTGAAATTGGTTGGTGCATGGTTAGGAGAGAACTGGTTGCAATAAAAAGTGAATATAAAAGTTTATTTTGATATGTTTTTAACTTTTGGGAGGGGGGAAAGTTTATTGGTTATTTTATTCAAAATGAGATTTTACAAATGAACCAGTGCTATACTGATAGGGAACAAACATTGATGTTGTTTCAGTGTTCAAGATCTCAGAAAAAGTGCTTTTTTTAGAAGTTGCCCAACACAGTAAAATCCTAGTTAGCCATGTTTCACAACCTGGCATGCCTGTAACAGCTAACAGAGCGGCTGATAGCGTACATAGCAATAGAGGCTGCCTGTGCAACACCCTTGGATGCGAGAATAAACCTAGCTGAGAGCCCTGGAAGGGCCTTCCAGCACCCTTTCCAGTAAGGGTGCTGGAAATCTTGCACTGTGGAACTGACCTCACCAGTATATGGGGCTTTGTGCTTGGGTGTTTTCTTTTTCCCTCATAAGGCGGGCAATCTCATGGCATCTGAGATGTGCACTGTATACATGAAAAATGCAAGAAGGAACATGGATTTTCCAAAGAAAAAAAAGCATGTGCTGTTTTTGTGAATGCAACTGAGAAATGGCATTGGTTTAACCACTTTACCACATATCTGAGCAACAGAGTTTGGCCTATGAGACACTTTTGGCCTTTTTTGTTACCTGCTGCTTCTCCAGATCTTTACTACAGAACACTGTAGAAGGAAGGGGTCAAGCTTGTCCTCAAAAGAGCCCTTGTCTCATGCAGACACTCACACCCTACACTTCTAGTTGGACAGATCACTTGGCTTCAGATGGTGTTTGCCTCATAAGATACACAGATGGTTTCCAGTGTTACTCCTGCTTTATAGATACTGTATATGGAACTGAGGCCAATAAGTCAAGAGCATCCCTCAGCCCTTGGCTGCCATTTGCCAAGAGTGAATGCTGTGCTGTATCCTCAAAGGAGCCTGCCACTTACCAGTTCCTATTGGGGCAGCCAGCCACTAGAATCACAACACCAACTGTACAGCAGGAGCCAGGAAAGGCTCCCATCAAGAGTGGCAGCCCTGAGACATGGACCCCAAACATCTGCATAGGCTACCCATTGTTCAGTGACCTGCAGAGTATGTATGTGCCCAGGTTACCCCCATTCCATATGCCTTGTTATTTCAGACATTAAATCACACCAGCTGCTCTTGTGCCAAAAGTAGGCTAAATCAGATAGACATAATACAAAGCTTTTCTTGTAAGGTTATTTTTGGTCTGCACAGATGCTGCTTCTTAGAAGATTCTTTGTAGCATCATCCAAATTTTTCAGATTCATATTATGCAAATATTTATTCAAAGAAAACAATTGCATTAAATAAAAATGTATATATGAATTTAGATAAAAGTACAGCTACATTAAGAATAAAATGCTTTGTTATTGTGTACTTGATGATCCACTGTAACATTCCAGCTATTTCCAGGTGAGCCTTCTAAAGCAGTGCAGTGCACATTTGTCCCAGAAAAAGAGACTGCTACTGTTTTAATAGGATCCTGGTGTTCTGTTTCAAAATGATCAAACACAATCAGAAATCTCACCTATCTAGCTTTCTGAATACTAAGAAATCAATGTATTGAGTGACATTCTGCATTACTTCTGTTCAGTACTTTTGACAGGGTTTTTTTCCTACAGTTTTCCTGTTTTTGTGGGGATATCAATGCTATTCCAATGTTAATTCCAACATTTTGAAATTACACACATAAAAGAGAGTAAACTGGAAACGGTAGTGTTATATTTACTTTTAATTTCGTATTTCTTGGTCACAATGCTGAATTTCTTGGATGTAATTTATTACAAAAGTTTAAATAAAGTGTACCTGTGAATAGAATACTGTGTTTTTCACATCTTGAGAGATGTTATGTGGAAATAAAATATTTACCCTAAATGTTTTTCATGTTTATATTTATCACATCTGTCTGGGTTAGCCATTCTACAAGCAGTTTAGACTTACTCTGCTCTCATGAGATCAGACAACAGGACCGGTCCTACTGTTAGGCAAAGTGAAGTGGACACATTAGGCAGCAGATTATTGTTAAGGAAAGGGCAGTAAGGTATTAGTGAGTGAATGTTTTTACTGTTGCCTTTTTATTACCAGGGATGGGGAGAGGTGGCTGTGGAATTTTCTGCCATATGTGCCAAAAATAATTGTGCCTCATCCCTGGCTGATTTTTATTCTGTAAAACCAAGCTGCAATTTCTTCTAGGAAATAAAATTAACAGAGGACAGTTAGAAAACATTAAGAGTGTGCATGCACACTCAAAAGGCACTGTGCAATTTGTTATTAACATTCTGCACAGTAGTATTTTTGAAAGCAAACTACATTTTTCACTGAAGTTCTCTCTATTTTTGTGACTTGTATCAAACAAAGTTATAATTTTTCATAACTACCAGTCTTCTTTGCCTGTTTTGAATTCAGTCCATTGTGCCGGAGAAACCAGCACATGCAGGATATGGGTTCCTTGATGGTTTTTTACCACACTTACAGCAGGGTTTTCAACACAAGACTAATAGACTTTACTGGAGTTAATAAAACAGTAGCCTGAAAATAATGATCTCTGATTAATATTACAATTTTTTGCAAAGAATACATCTGCTGCAACAACAACTTGCTTTAGAGAGAGCTAAAAAGCAGGTGCATGAATTATGATGGCTAATTTTAAGAAACAAAATAGCCAAGGAACAATATCTGGTAATAAAAACATAGCTTTGTTGTTATTTAGTCGTTTAGTAGTGTCCGACTCTTCGTGACCCCATGGACCAGAGCATGCCAGGCCCTCCTGTCTTCCACTGCCTCCTGGAGTTTGGTCGAATTCACGTTGATAGCTTCCATGACACCGTCCAACCATCTTGTCCTCTGTCTTCCCCTTCTCTTGCCTTCACATTTTCCCAACATCAGTGTCTTTTCCAGGAAGTCTTCTCTTCTCATGAGATGATCGAAGTATTGGAGCCTCAGCTTCAGGATCTGTCCTTCCATTGAGCACTCAGGGTTGATTTCCTTCAGAACAGATATGTTTCTGTCTTAAATATGATGTAATAGCTTTATTACATCATATTTAAGGCAGAAACATTTGAAGAACCATTTTACTTCCATTTGAACATAGTGGGATTTACTTCTGATTCTTGTGCTTTGAGTTTACAGTCTCTTACCACAGGTATTTTAGGCACACTGGTCATAGTAGTACTATGGAACTTCATGAGTGCGATTATAAACCAACATAAATTATAAGTATAGGAAATAAGTGAAGGCAAAGGCTACTTCCAAGTTACAGAAACTAAATTGCTCATTATATTTTCTTTCACAGTTGTCCTAATGTTATCTACATCTGAGGCACCTACACCAGAGTGTACTGTATTTTACCAAGTATACGACCCTCCAATATATATAACAACCCCCTAATTTTGACCCTTGATGGAGGCAGAGGAGCAGTTAATGGGCAACTGCTCCTCCACCTCCATCTCCTCCTGCTGCTGCTGTCTCCGCTGCCCGCCCGATTACCCCCCCCCATGCGACTGCCGACTGCCAGGGCTCACCTCCAGCTCACGTCGGTGCCTTGCCCCCTGCTCTAAGGAGACGATCACTGGAGGAGGCAATCTGGCAGCGGCAGCAGGAAGAGGCGCCCGAGCCCACACAAATGCTTGTTTGCCTCCACCTCTGCCTCCTCCTGTCTCCACCACCGGAGGGGACAAAGTGCGACGTGAGCTGAGCCCGTCAGTCCCAGTGGAGGTGGTGATCAGGCGGGCAGGGAAGGCAACAGCAAGAGGTGCCCCGAGCGTGTGTGAATGCTTCCTTCCATGTATAAAACAATGCTCAATGTTTCCTCTGATTATTTTAGGAAAAAGTGTTTTATACACGGAAAAATACGGTATATGCTGTATCTGGTGTAAAAGTAATGAAACACAATGCCACCCAAGACTTATAACTGAAGCGTTTTACTTAAGCAAAGGGTAAACTTTGGTGTATATCAAGGCTGATTTCCTCCCAATAATCTTAGGTTACATTTTTGATCCCTACAAAAGAGAATGATCTGCTCAGGTCATGTATCTGCCTTGATTGTAGCCGCTGAACTACATTTACATCCATGGGGGATAAAGTATGTGCAAGCCATTTTTCTTTTCAGCAATTCTGTGCTATTTCTGTGAATATTTTGCATTGATTGATTCCACCTTCCACGAGTGGAACACCTCTATCCACCCGGAGGCAAATCCTCGTCCAACTTTTAGATTTCTACAAGTCCTAAGGCACACAGGCATCAGTATTCACAGCATTTGTAGGTGCTTCATCAGAGCTGACAGCATATAGAACAACGTTTCAGACAAGAGCCCGCAGTTCATGCTGAGACTACATGTCTGTTGCTGATTCTCAGTGTTCTGCCATTGCCAACTTCAAGGTTCTGGCTTCATTCACTGGGACATCAGTGTGCAAAAAAAAACAGCTGGATTACCCACCTGATCTGACTGCAGAATTTGGAGCCTAAATAGCTGGAATTAATTCCCTTTTACAGGATTCTTAATGAATGGCAGCTGGCCTCTTGCAACATTGTGTGCTGTGGGTTCTAGGATCTGTTCTACAGGTGTTTGACAGTTCTTCCATATGTTGGCAATCTTTAAAAAAAAAAGGGACAGGCCGACATTTCTAGCCATCTCAATAATTTTACATGGTATTCCTTGAAAACCAGCTCCAGAAGTTTTACAAGCCTTTGTAGCTGGTTTCAGAGTTCAGGGAGTAGGTGGGTTGCAGTGGGCAGGAAAGGTGGCTCTTCCTGATTCTGCTAACAGAAACTATTCCATCATCAGCTACATCACCTTTGGGATTCCAGCCATTTACTACAGTTTAAATTTTACTGCAAATCTCCATCCAGTCCTTTGGCCATTTTTAAAATTACTGTCACATACACTGTCTGTTTCACTCATTGGCAGACACACTGTGTAATTTCAAGACAGTCCCTCTGAGCTTTATAACTAGGAGAAGTCACCTGCAAGTGGGGAGTACATGGGGAATGGAACAAGGAAGGAACAAGAACACCACCCAGCCGCACAGTCCCAAAGCCTCTGTGTCTCCTTTTCGCCCACGGCTGCTTTTGTCCTGGCTTGCAAGCGATCCCAATCACAGATCTCTCAGCCCACAGGGATGGTTCCGTCCTTGCAGGCTGTTGCCTACTTTGGCTGCAATCCACTAAGCATCTACAGAGAGCCACAGCTCAGGTTCAGCTTCTCGGCATCTTCCACATAAAAACATGAAGTTTATCGGTTGGAATAGCCATTTTTATACCAAAATTACTGGACGCACAAATGCAGCAGAAACTCGCGTGTTTCCTCCCCATCACCACCTCAGGTAATTGGCAACAAAGAGCACTTAAAAAGCCAATTTGCACTTTTGCTTCAAAAGTAGAAAAATCAATTATTAGAAAATGCTGTCTTCCCATGGCTGTTGCACACATGCCTTTGCTCCTCTGTCACATACAGAGCAATATATGTAGGAATTTATATGAGGAAGACTGCTGATCCACTCCCTTCTCCGACATGCAAAACAAGCTCTACACAGAAGGGAGAGGAATCGCTTTAGCATGTGTGCCGGAGCAGTACAAATCTTTGGTTAGGGCTCTGTAGTGAGGTTTTTTTGTGGTTTCCTTCATTCAAGTTGCCCATAGAGGTCAATTTGGCTGTTATTCAGTGAAACATGCAATAACAATTAATTAGAAAAGTCCTTTTTCTGAAAGCCTCATAAAATTTCAGTATGAGACGCGGAATCTGTCACCAGTATTAGGCCAATGCGAAGCACTGCTTGATAAAATGGCTCATATGGGTGTAAATGTGATTGTGGGCTTGGCCTCCAATTCCATGGTCCTTATCTGTATACCACTGGAGAGAAGAGAACAGAAGGTATCAGATGCAGCTGATATGCAACATCTTTTATAGAACAGTTTCACTGTAAGAACTTACTACAACTGTTTTCTAGCTGCCCTGTACTTTGCTATTAATACTGGTAAAATATTTTAAAACATTTGTCAATCCAGAATATGTTGCCAGTTTTGAAGTAAGGGTGACTTTTACATGGGGATGACCAAATCCCCCCTCCCTGATTTTATCTGTTCCCATTTCCCCACTATAATGGCCAAAATCCTCCTGTGTAGCTACATAAACAGTGTTCCTCTTGGAGGTGACTTGCCTCAAGAAATCTCTGTAGACATTCTATGTTGCATGCTGAGTCCTGCAGCAAAGCCGGCAATAGATAATGGTTACAGAGATTTCTTAATGCGAGGCAATTTGCTTCCAAAAATTATGCTGTTTGTGTGAGTGTTAGTGTAACTAGACAAGAAGATTTTAGGCAATGTGCTTTTGTATGTTAATTTCATGTATATTAACTTATTTTGCATGCTTTCCCCTAATATACATATATGTATTTTAAAGATCTATGCTTTAATACACATTTTTTATTAAAGAACTACAACATAAAATCTGGAGAAGTGTGAATACGGTATTGAATTATACCTGCATTTTGATTTGCACATTACTTCAGGAAGAGTCACTGCAATAAGCTTGCATTCAAATGCAAACCAATTTCTCCTCATTCATTGAAACAAATGTTGGAGGAAAATTATTTTAATGTTACAAAAAATGCTTAGTTTAGTGAAACAACTTGCAGTATTAAATGTTTGATATCATTGGGCTCAACAAACTTAAATCCAGTAGCTCTGGGTTGACTTTCTTGTGAAATGCTGCCTGTTGATAAAACTAAGGGCAATGCTGCAATCCAATTCCACTGGATGTATAGTTATAGAAGGAGTGTCCATTTTAGTCTCTGCAAGCAGTATAGGTAAAAGTTTTAAAAAAGACAAAAACGTGGTGGCACCTTAAGACTAACTTTTCTCATTTTTTTAATGCGAGCTTTTGTGGATAATTCCACTTTATCATACACAAAAGCTCACATAAAAAAATAAAAAAGTTAGTCTTTAAGGTGCCACAATTTTGTTCTTTTTTAAAAAAACTTTTTTTTCTAATTTGCTTTTTTACTCAAAAAGTTGTCCTGTGCCCCCTAACACATACCATTGCTTGGAAATCCACCTGTGCATCAACCAGAGCTTTCGAGATCTGAGCTCCTTGCTGGAAGTGAACATTATCTGGGAATTTTTTGAAATGGGAAAAAAAACACCATAAAACACATAATATATAATCTGAGAAGAACAGACAGCATGATAGGGGAGGAGAACCAATCACGAGAGCCACTCCACCCTTCTCCTGCCCACCCTACTAGACAACAAACGTACAGAAATGAACAGTGGCTTTTTTCAAGATTCTGTTACGCACTTCTCTTTTGTTTTTGTTGTTTAGTTGTTAAGTAGGACTTTCCAAATCTCACCCTAGCAAGATTCCCTGCAAAAACACCTGCCTACATCATGGTGATTCCCTTCCTTCCTGTGAAAATGGAAGTCCAGTTTCATTTACTACTTTATTCCATTTGTTTTTCACCCCTTGTTCTGTGCAGGAAGCTTATCGTTTTGCACAGCTTAAGACCCTATCCAGTGAAACCTGCACAGGAAATATGCCATTCCTTTTTAGGAATGTTAACAGTTCTGCCAAGCTTGGTGGGTCTTCTGCTGTTTCCAGATAATCCCATGCAAGAAGGATGCTACGAGACACAGAAATTATAATCCTTTTGCCCAACTTGGTGTTTCTTCTCCCTTTCAAAGGCAATCCTGCACAGGAAAGATGCCCTTTTTTGTTTGGAACTGTCACAACCCGGCAGAGCCTGGCACTTCCAGAAAAAAAAACCTGCAATACCCTTAGACAAACACACATAGTGACAAAAATAAATTTCTGGAGTGCCTCACCATCTGCTGTTCCATGGATCAGGAGATAATCAACTTTTCGAAAGTTCTCGGCTCTGGCCATAACAGTAGAATTCTGAAACAGGCAAAAACAAATGTGAGGAAAAAAATAACCAACTCCAAATTCAAATATAATTCCACCTGTAATCTAGCTTCCACAGACTAATCAGTTAAAAAAAAGTTGGTGTTTAACTCAAAGCAAAACCAAACCAAACTATAATGCCAGAATATTATTGCATTACATAAATCCAATACTGTACTGCATAAGCAAGCTATACCATCATTCAAACTTATTCTGTTAAATCGTGGCTAAACTGCAATACTGCATCCAAGACTCTGCTCACGACCTGAGTTCGATCCTGACAGGTTCAAGTAGCCAGCTCAGAGCTGATTCAGCCTTTCATCCTTCTGAGCTCGGTAAACTGAATCCCCAGCTCAGTGTGGGGGCAATGTATAGCCTGTATAATTAAACTGTAAACTGCTCAGACAGATTTATAAACTCTATGGGGCGGTATATAAGCAGCACAGTTAGCTTTGAGTTGTGCATTCAGACATACCCAAGATATATATATATATATTTGATTGATTGACTGACTCACTGACTGACTGGTTGATAGATAGATATACCACCCATTTGGCTGCCAGGGCCACTCTGTGTGGTTTACAACAATGACAAAACCAAAAAAAATAACAAAATAATACAACATCAGAGTTAAAGTTAAAACCATAAATAAAGTGAAGGACAAAGTGAAAAACACAATACATAAAATTAATATAATTAATAGCATAAAATATGGCAAAATATATATTAGTGCATTATCGGAGATACTGTTGCATCGGGAGTTGTTTACTCTGGGAAAGCTTGTCTGAACATCCAGGTCTTTAAAACTTTTGGCAACAGGGTATTCCACAATTTCCAGGCCTCTCTCAGGGTCAAAACTCTCAGGCCCCCTGCTTGTGGCGATCTTATTGGACTTTCCGACCTAACTGGAAGGAGGCGTTTGGCCAGATATCAAATTCTAAAACCGTTTAAGGCCTTGTAGGTTAATATCATCACATTGAAACTGGGCTGGAAGCAAACAGGAAGCCAGTGGAAGGCAGCCAGGGTGGGGGAGATGTGTTGGTATTTCCTTGCCACATTCAATAATCTGGCCGCTGCATTCTGGACCCGTTGCTATCTCTGTAGCAGTCCCAAGGGCAGCCCCATGTAGAGGGCATTACAGTAGTCTAATCTCTAGACTACCAGTGCATGAACCACAGCTGGGTGACCTGGTGGTGACCTGGCTTAAGTGGAAATAAGCAGAACAGTCTACAGACGCTACCTGTGATGCCATTGGTAGTGCTGGGTCCAGAAGTACACCTAAGCTACGCACCTCATCCTTTGTGGAAAGACTGACCCCCCCAGAAAAAAGGCAGGGAGGTGCCCAGACCACAGACACTAGGGGCCCCCAACTGCACAGCTGGGTGACCTGGTGGTGACCTGGCTTAAGTGGAAATAAGCAGAACAGTCTACAGACGCTACCTGTGATGCCATTGGTAGTGCTGGGTCCAGAAGTACACCTAAGCTACGCACCTCATCCTTTGTGGAAAGACTGACCCCCCCAGAAAAAAGGCAGGGAGGTGCCCAGACCACAGACACTAGGGGCCCCCAACTGCAGGATTTCCATCTTGTCCAGGTTCAGCCTCAACCTGTTGTTCCTCATCCATCCCAGCACCACATCCGGGCAGCGCTCAAGGGGCGGGACAGCATCCACTGCAGAAGGGTGGAAGGAGAGACAGAGCTGCGTGTCATTCGCATATTGGAGACCTGAAGCTCCAAAACTCCTGATGACCTCCCCCAGCAGCCTCATATAGATATTAAATAGCATTGGGGAGATGATTGACCTCTACGGGACTCCACAGTTGAGAGTCCACAGAGTGGACATTATCTCCCCAAGCTGAGCTCTCTGAGGACAGTCCCTGGGGTAGGACCAAAGCCAGGCCAAGGCCTGACCCCCAGTCCCTAACCCTGAGAGCATCCCCAGGAGGATACAATGGTTGACATTGTCAAAGGCCACTGAGGGGACGAGGAGGACCACCAAGGACATTTTGTCCCTGCTGGCCTCCCTCATGATGCGGTCTGAACCCGGACTGGAAAAGATCAAGGGCACTGGTTTCCTCCAGGAGAGCCTGAAGCTGATCAGCCACCACTCTCTCCATCAGCTTGGCAATAAAGGGGATATTGGCGACTGGACAATAGTTGTTAATATCATCAGCTGCCAAGTTAGTTTTTTTTCCAGATCAGCCTAATGAGTATCTCCTTGAGGACATGTGCATTTAGCCATATACAAGTGGGGTCTTGACTTGAGAACTTAATCCGTATTGGAAGGCGGTTCTCAAGTCAAAAAGTTCTCAAGTCAAATCTGCATTTCCCATAGGAATGCATTGAAAACCATTTGATCCGTATCTGCTCTTTTCCGTCCATAGAAACTAATGGGAAGCTGCTATTCTGCCTTCGACCACTAGAGGGGGATATTTTGTTTCTTTTTTGCTTAGGTCAAGAAAGGTTCAGGGAAGGCAGGGAAAATACAGTCCAGGCAGGACAGTACCAGGCAGTCCGAAGACTGTCTCCCAATCCACTCTCTAAACGCTGGGAGGAGTGAGGAAGCAGACAGGCACCCTTTTCACTGGCCAACAGTTAACTGAAAGTTCAAATTTTGCACTTTCCCTGCCTCCCACATGGGTTTTTTCAGTTCTTAACTCAAATCTAAGTACTTAAGTCAAGTCAATATTTTCCTATGAGAGCGGTTCTTAAGTCAAAATGTTCTTAACTCGAGCCGTTCTTAAGTCAAGACCCCACTGTAACAAATAGTGAGAAAACTACAAACACTGCTTGCAGAATTTCCCTCACATACTCATTATTTCGCAATAAAATACTGGTCAACACTTATATCAAAACACAGAAATGTTAATGTTACTTTCTAGACTACAACTTCCACAGCTGGATGTGGAATTCCCAGTGAGATGTAGCCTGGAAAAGTATCATTTCCAAGCTTTGGCATATCCGAGAATGCTACTTTGACGCAGAAGATGGGGATCACTGTACTGATATGTCTATGTCTGTGTTATGCAAAGAAAACTTAAGCCCTAAACGGTTTGGGACCTCGATACTTGGCAGATCATCTCCTCTCACCTAAGTCTACCCGAATCACCCGCCATAGCCAGCAAGGACAGTTGAGTGGCCTAACACCGAGAGAGGCCCGGAAAGAAAGAACAAGAATCCAGGCCTTCTCGGCAGTGGCCCCTCAACTATGGAACAGCCTCCCAACAGAAATCCATCTGGCACCCTCGCTGGGTGTTTTTAAAAGCCATTTAAAAACTTGATTCTTTAGGCAGGCCTTCCCTCCAGTCAATTAACTGATCTTTATTCTTTGTCTTTTACATTATTTCATCTTGGCAATGATTTACATAAGTGTTAAAATTATGATGTTTTTAAATGATTTTATGATATTTGTTATATTGTGATGTTTTTATTATGTATGTAAACCGTCCCGAGTAGACTTTGTCTAGGGAGTGGGGTAAAAATCTAATAAAAGTAAAAGTAAAGTAAAACTTCCTTGTAGAAAGAAAGATGGGTGGATGGTTAGGCCATATATTTTTACTCCTGCAGAACCTTGTGGCACAGTGGCTAAACTGCTGTACTACAGCCAAAATTCATGACCTGAATTCAATTCCTGTAGCTGGCTCAAAATTCACTCAGCCTTCCATCCTTCTGAGGTTGGTAAATTGAGTGCCCAGCTTGCTGTGGGTGGTGGCGGCAATATGTAGCCTGCAGAATTAAATTGTAAACTACCAGAGTGTGCTTCGAGTGCTAGTATATACACAGCACACATTTTTTTTCCTGACATGCATCTTAAATTGTATCCAGGAGATATGGTATCACTGTGTAGTGTGCTTTGAATGGCCTGCTACCATCTGATGACTGATGACAGCATTCTGCGCTAGTCATCATCAGTGCATGTCCCCTGTAGAAATAACAGTTTTTAAAAAATGATATTCCTTTACTCTCTCAGCCACTTCATAAGATAAACTGCTATGCCCGTTGAAAGGATTTGTGCCTAAGCAAGCATCAGCTCTTCCAAATCTGGCACTCTAATTCCTACAAAACACTGGACTTTCTTCCACCTCTGTTTCATACACAGGGAAAGAGAGGGAGATGCCTGCAAAGGGCGGCTTCATTTGTATGAATGGCTGGATAATAATCAAGCACTTTGGGGCAACCAAGGGACTAGGTAAAAAGCAATGCTATGAAACATCATCATGGACCAAGGGTGTCTGGTGGCCACAGGCTGCATGGGTTACTTGCACAAATAAATGCAATATGGAAAAGCACTTGGACGTCACAATAAAATATTCAGTATTTTGTCCATATATATCCCTCCAGATTAGTACAGGGCTCCCCATCCCCTTGTAACGTTGCTACTGTATTATTGATCTAGTATCTCTAATGCTTTCCAAGTAATCTGAATGACAGTGAAATATTATATTTTATATATGATGTTTATATATATTTATATGTACTACTAAGAAAATATACTTTAAAACTGGAGTAATCATGGGACCATAAATCAGGACAACTCTGAAACAGGACACAGTATTAGCAAGAGGATAATCCTGCATGAAGAGCTGGGCCTCAATAAGAGCAAAGCGACCCAGAAGGAACAGGGCAGGGTTAGTATTCAATATTCCCAGACGCCATTTCTCTTGGCCCATTTTCTTCATTCTCCCAATGCTAGCATTCTAAACAGCCCCACAAAGACCAAGGTCCCAGTTCACTTGGGGAAGTAAAGGCCGGAGTCCCCCTGTGGGTGGGAAACCATGCATATATGATATGTAAGGTGCCCATGGAACTGAGGCCACAGCATCACTCCATGCTTCCTCTCGCTTTTTTCCCCTTTCACAAGTGGTGTGTCATCGGACTGGCAGCACCACTGTTCAGCAGGCAGATCACTGCTGGTTCTCCCAGGCAACCATTAATATCTATCCAAAAGGAATAGACTAAGTAGGCAGGTTGTTACATAGGACCGTTTTAGGCCC